AGAACTGAGCCCAAAGTCTGTTTCTGTGATCCGCATTTGTGATCCTGCTGCAGCCGGTCTTCAGTGCCTTCAGGTTAGAAACAAGACCATGAACCCTCAGATAACAGAACGTATAACTCCTTTTAACCACTCATTTGACCATTACAGAGCTGAGCTGGACACCCTCTTTGGACAAGTTGCTCCTCCACAAAACCTGATGGGTAATCTTATGTGTTTATTTTATTTTCACCTGCATCAATAGAGTTTTAAATGTTGACTTTGACTTTGAGTGGTAAAAGTCATAATTAAAGGCAGAGTATGTAACTTTCTGGAGGTGGCCCGTCACCTGCATGATTCTGTTGAACTTTCTCCATGGAGATAGATATGTTTTATGCTATAATGTGGAAGATTACAGCCAAAGGAACATTTTCATTGAAACAAGATACATAATGGCGTTTTAAACTTTAGTTTAGGATAACTTGTGCTCAATCCTTAAATAATCTCAAAGTGTTTCTTATTGTTTCAGGAAAATTGAAGAAAAAATTCAAAAAATCTCCATCTGTAACAAATATCCCTGCAATGAAGTCTCAGCCTGCTGTTTGCAGTGTGATCGGCTGCACTTCTGTTGATATTTCTGCCTTAAAGAAATCATTGGAGAGTTTAGTCCTTCAACAACTTCTGGAGAAAGAGTTTGAGCTACGAGAGCTTTCCCGCCTGGATGAAATGGAAGTGGAGGCAGTCCAAGCTAAAGCCAGATCTTTCGGTGTCAGTTTGGACCATGGCATTCGAAGAAAGACCAATACAAGCAAATATGACATGAAAAATCGAGCAGATTCTGGTGAAAAGATCGTCATTCTTAATGGTCTTAAAGAAGATGTTTTGGTAGTTGCAGATTTAGTCAACAAAGCGATTAAAAAAGCACTAAGTGAAGATCTGCAAGAAAAACACGAAGAAACTTTGGCCCAGACGGTTCAGTGGATGTATTTGGATGAAGGAGAGGACTGGAAACTTTTTAGTCTGAAACAAAACTACATGCTGGAGGAAGCGATGAAAAACAAGGATGTGTTTAAGAAAACGGAGATAAAAGGGAACAAAGTGGAAGTGAATCTTACGGCGTTAGAAGCGACCGATAAAAAAACAGGGAAGAAATACAGTGTAAAGCGGTGTGAGACAGACCCAGGTATGTCAGTATGACACTAATATTTCTTTGTTTAAAAGTGCACTATGTAACTTTTCTAATTTGTGGTTCTACCACCTTCTTGACTCCATGGAGTTGTTATGTTATTTGCCTAGAGTGTTTCCTAGTTTGGCATTAAAGATCTATCTTCATGGCAAATGTAATGCAATACTGTAGAACATTCCAGGACAGGGAAAGCAATAACATCTCCATGGAGACAAGCAGGTGGCAGATCTCCCATCAGAAAAAAATTACATATTGCATCTTTAAACTTAGATTTTTCAGTTGCATTTACTAGGAAAGAGATCAAACACATAACCAATAGTGGAGTCGTAACTGAAATCATTTTTATATAATGTATAATGCTGTCAAAAGTTAAAGATGCACTGTGTTACATTTCTGGTGACCTGCTTGTCTCCAAGAAGAAGTTATTGCTTTGCCTAGAATGTTTGGCATTAAACATATCATATCAATCTGGACATGGAGACAAGCAGGTGGTCCACCATCCAAATAAAGGTTCTTTTTGACAGATCAGTGTGTTGATTACACGTATCTTGACATCTTTCGTATGCCTTCTGCATCCTTCTTCAGAAGGGTCACATGATGTTATGCCTTTCTACTACCTGCATATTGCACCATCTGCAGTCCGACTTCTCCAGAACAGCATCCCTCAAGTCGGACTGCAGAGGGCGCTATTCCCCTGCCAATGCAGGTAGCAGAATAGCGCTAAAATCTGTGTAAACCTTAGGACAGCAAAAGAACAGTTAAGATGCATGCAGGTATTTCTGATCATTCTAGACAAAGCTATAGTACTCATCTTCATAGAGACAACTAGAAAAGTAATATAGTCCTCTTTCAAAAATGCTACCTTTTAGTAACAATTTAGAATTATTACTGACCAAACTGCTTCTGTATATACATGTGTACAATGACATCAAGTTAGAGGTTAACAGTTAATAAAGCTTTTATTTATGATTTCAGATATTGAGTTGCCCGGACACTGGAGTCCAATGGCAGGAGAAAGCTTTAAGAAAGTGGAACTGGATAAATCATCACCGGAGTTTCAAGATATTGCCCAAAGATTTTACAAAACTGCTAAACGCAAAATAGACAAGGTAAAACTGACAAACATCATTTTAGCAATTTTGAATAAATGTTAAGTAGAGATGTTTAATGTCATACTGTGGAACATTCCAGGCAGAGCAATGACACTCATCTCCATGCCACAATTAGGGTTTGTTGAATCGAGATGTGCTCTGTTGCTGACAAAAGGAGCTAAACTCACTATAACCTCCTCTCCTCCTACAGGCTCTCACTGTGTCTCTTATTTTATAAGTAATCTGTAAATAAAACACTAATTTGTAACACTACACAAGTTGTGTGAAAGCCTTTTAAGAGCCCTGAGATGCGGTGTTCAGTGTGTGTGTTGATGAGTGGGTTTGACACACGACACTTGATGTGCCGTGGCGCGTTTTGGTGTGCATTGGCCTTAAGTGGGTTGGGGCTAAAAGTTCAAACTAAAATATTTTCCTGACTCATCGTTTGTAATCAGGTACAGGCCCTATATGACAGTAAAAATCATGTGACTTTTCTTCTATTGTATCCTACTCTATTTTTTATCAGTAGAACTGATGTAAGTAACAGCAGTAGTACCTCCTTGTTTTTGTTATAGATTGAGCGAGTGCAGAACTATTACCTGTGGTGCAGTTTCTTTGTGATGAAGAGGAAGATGATGATGAAAAACGGTGCGGCTGAACTGGGCGAGAAGTACCTGTTCCACGGAACCTCAGCTGAATCCTGCAACTGCATCGAGAGAGACCGATTTGACAGAAACTACACAGGAAAACAAGGTGATTAGATTAAAATTATTTGGTTTATATAAGAAAAAATGTCAATGTCTGCACACATGAATCACTTAATCAATGAGTGTTGGTGCCTGACTGGTTCATTGTATTTTTCATTTCATATCAAATAGTAGATTTTTTTTTTTTTTATCGAAGTAAGGGATCAGGGTGGGGGATAGGGCTTAGGTGGAAATTTACATTTTCTGAGCACTTCTTTCAATTGAGTAAGAACACGCACATTCAAGAAATGGGTCATCATTGTGAATAGTACAGATGCTTGTAATGAATAACATAAGTGTGGAATAACTTTAGACTTCTGCAAAGCATTTAAAAAACTTACAGCATACAGCGCCATTATGTGTAATTTTTAATGTGCTTTCAGGTTCAGTATATGGCAAAGGAGTTTACTTTGCCATCAACGCTGATTATTCTGCAAATGACCGCTACTCCAAACCTGACAGTGCCGGGCTGAAGCGGATGTATGTGGCTCGAGTTCTGACCGGACGCCACACATTGGGAAACGCTGCCTTGTCGGCTCCTCCCCTCGTGGCACTGACCCTAGTGACCGATACGACAGCCTGGTGGACAATCTGCAGAGTCCCAAAATGTTTGTAATCTTTCATGATGATCAGGCCTACCCAGAATACCTCATCACCTTCACGTGAGGAGACCAGTACAGTACCTCCTTCTAATCAAGTGATATGCACATTAAATTCACTTGAAACCATAGTTAAAAACCTCAAGCATGAAGCAACTTTTTTCTTTAAAGTCTTTTCTTTAATATTTTATTGAACAGGTATTATATTATTATATATTGTTGCTTATGATTTTTTTAAAGGCGCTGTGCCTGATTTTTACTGTCTTAAAAATGTAAAAAACAGAACTGGTTAAGTTACTGTACCTCTGCAAACTTTTCTCTGGGACCAGGGGAAGTTTTACCATGACTGTAGCTAACAACAACTATTATACTAACATGCACTTTCTGATGATCAGATAATAAAAGTAAATTTAAAGTGGGACTAAACATCTAAACTCCAGACACTGGCCAAATTAGCCGTACAAATTTGGCATGCCTGGAGGACTAAAGGGGAGAGTGAGAAGGGAAAAGGGGCCGAGTCTGGAGGACTAAAGAAGAGAGTGAGAGATGGGGTGGGGGTCTGGAGGACTAAAGAGGAGAGTGAGAGATGGGTGGGGGTCTGGAGGACTAAAGAGGAGAGTGAGAGATGGGGTGGGGGTCTGGAGGACTGAAGAGGAGAGTGAAGGAGCAGGGTGATGCCACATGCCTACCACAATCTAGTGGCTAGTTTTGGATGATAAAGTCGCAAGTTAGCTCGTTTACAATATAAAAGCAAAAATGTTGTAGAAACTGTCGAGAATGCTGCTAAAACACCTTGCACACAGTTAAGTTGCTAAAAAAGTTAGTGTTTAGTCCCACTTTAAAGATCCAAATATTTTCATATGTTCATAATATGTTAAACTGTTGTGGGAAGTATATATCGATGTAAACAAATCAAGGTCTAATATTATAATGTGTTTAAGTAGTTAAAACTATGCAAATCAAAACAAATGTTAATTCAACTGTATTTTACTCACTCCACAATCTCAGAAGACTTGCTGTTTCTATTTTTTATATTTTATTTTATTTAATAGAACTACATAAAAAAAAACAAAAAAACTAAATAGCGTGATCTGGGAAAACAGCTTCATCGACTTTTAACAGTTGTGTGCTGATTTTATTTAAGATTTCTTTTATTATTTTTAGTTATTTTTAGTTCTCGTCTTAATTACATTCCTTATTGTAATGTAATACAAGCTAAACAAAGGAAATTTTATGGTTTAATGTTTTATTTTGCTCGTACCAAAGTTCTCAATGGAAAACATCAAAACTCAGTGCAATGACATTATAATTGTAAATGTAATCATGTTTTCTTTTATTTTAAAACAATCAAAGTAAAACAATAAAATAAGAACAGCGCCATTACTTTGCACATTGTATATTTTGCATCATGCATGGGACATGGGACTCTGGGTCATACATTTAGGGTTATAAATTATATAATGTCAATGTCATTTTCAACAGTAAGAACACAGAAAATCTGATGCCTGCGACAATGGAAAAGCAATACAAAAAGGTGAGGCTTCTTTGCAAGTTAAAGTTCATTTTTACTTAATTTAGTGGGATTACTAACTATTGTAAATATAAATTATAGTTTTACACCAATCAAGAAGGAATCTGTCAAGAAAATTTGAAAAATATGTTGAAAATTACAGAGAATTCTAAACACAGATGACATTTGGCACAATTTACATGAACAAACATTTTTTCTGACCCTTTACATGATTTCAACAAAATAAAGGTGTTTTCTTACATATATTGTATTTGTTAGATAATAATTTATGGGTACATTAAGGGAATTTTGCTAGGTAACAATTATGTAATGTCACGATTTCTAAACAGGGAGTAACACAGCTAAAAAAAAAAAGGCCAAATTGTGAAAATGAGTGTGGATGTGTTTACAAAAATCTTAAATATAATGATCTTAACTGTGTTTTAGGAAATTTAGTAATTGTCCAATTTAAAACAAATTATTATAGGCACTGAGCTGTTTCCATTACTAAGCTGTTTGAATTACAATTACAAAATGTGCTATACAAATACTTGCCTTGCCTAAGTCGTTTTAGATCAGTATTGCTGTTTACAATTAACAGAATGTAGAAAAATCATTTGTATATATGTATGTTCATTTTACATTTTAATTACCAGAGAAAATGTTCTTTAATGTATTTTATGCATGGCTAAATCAGTAGAATGAGTAAATCAAATATCCACTGAATGATGAGGACTTATTATTTGGGTAAATTTGTCTTAAGACGGGCCACAAACTGAGATAGACCTCATCTCCAGGGTTCAGCTCCACCACTGCGCTGTTGGATCCAAAAGCTGAATTGAACCAAAAAATAGAGCTAGAGATGATTGGCTCTTGATTTCGAAACAAACCTAAACTACGTCCCCTGATGAAAACATTGAAGCTGAAGTAGTACAGTCCAGGTAATGGTGCTGTGAAGACACCTAAATTGTATGCAATGTGTTAAAAGCAGTGTAACATTCAAATCATACTGTATTTAGATTAGGCTGGGTTCACGTGAAATCACAGCATTGTCCACACACAACTCTTTAGGGTTGACTTTATTTTTATTTTCTTTATTTTACTGACCAGAAACTATTAAAAATGTTATCTGTCACTTGAAACAGTAGTTCATCACGTTTATTTTTAGAAAAACACTGTACCTCCTTATTCACAAAACATAATAAATATTAAAATTCAAACTACACTCAGAACCTTGATTGTTCTCTGGGCTCATCTGATTGGTCAGTTTTTTTTAGCAGTTAAAATGAATTGATAGTATACTAAATGTACATGTATGTGTTGCCATACTAAATGTGCAGAAGCATCTAAGTCATATTGAATTTGACTCTGGTGAATCACATGCCCAGATGAACCAAAACATGGTGGTGTGGATGGACACTCCAGCCTGTTTAGCAGAAACAAAGACCAGAATCTGACAACGCAGTTTTAGAACATTGTGATGATGTCACGTGAACACAACCTGTTGAACAGTTAGTCTGACCTCTGTTCGGGTCGTAGGCATAGCCAGAGTTCGTCACAACATCAGTGAATGCAATCTGGCCATCAGGATCTTGTCTGGGATTTGTAGCAGTAAAAGCCACTGGTTCTGCAAGACAGGCAAGACATCACTTATTTTTATATATGAAAAACATGCATTTTTAGAGTAGGATCTCCACTCCACAGATCTGACTTGCAGTAATTTTGCCCAGTGGTGTCACCTGCTTGTCTCCATGGAAATGGATATGTTTAATGCCATACTGTGGAACGTGATAATCAAAGAAATAACATCATCATGAAAACAAGCTGGTGGCGGACCCTCCACCAGAAAAAGTACATAGTGTTTCTATTAACATTGGCAAATAAAGGACACTGCATCAGCTGCAAGAGTCTCAGTCAATTCACAATCATAATGTGACGCAATTTGCAAAAGCTGCAGTTTTTCTTACCCAGTCCAGGCCAGTTTCGAGGTTGAATATATAGATCTGAACTTGGGTTGAATGAAAATCGTCGATTTTTATTCTCTGCGGTGTCCGCGCTAGTTACATTGCTGTCATTTGTTTGTTGTTGGCCAAGAGACAAGCCCAAGGCCAAACAAATAAGCAGACAGATCTTCATTTTAGAGTTTCATTTGCCTTCCTTGTCTCGTTCTGCAGGTGCACAAATCAAATCAATTTATAGTTAAGATTTCTATCAATAATTTATGTGTTGTTTTATGGTATTGGTGAATAATGAAACAGAAGGCACTATAATCATTTGCCAGTTACACAACGTCTCACCAGCTTTTATTTTCTAAATTACTTAAACTTTTTATTTTTTTTTTATTTTTATTTTTGTGTGTGTGTGAAATCAGTGGCCTATATAGACGTTCTTAAGACAAAAACTTTGCCACAACAGACTCCTTTCTCTTTATCTATTTTTGTTCTTTTGTACTTAGGTGCACTATACTATACTACCATACAAACCACCGGACTGTTGCCATGGAGATGTTTTTAAATACAAGAATTTTCAATCTGTGTTTAGAAAAAAATAAAATAAAAAATACAAACATACAAAATACAAATGACAAACGTGGATTAAACCTTCTTCAGAACTTTACATTTTAAAAGAAAGTATTAAGTTAAAACAAAGATATTTTCACATTCAAACAATCAATTAATCATTTAACAACTTCAGTCTCACATTTTAATGTGAACATATTAAGGTCTAGCAATGCAACGATATTCGACATAATACCGAATTGTTCGATACTGGTCTCACGTGTTCATTTGATACACATGTCGATATGCACGTGCCCCTCCATGCATGCTGTGTTGGCATTTAAGGAGAACAGTTATTGCAGCGTCCTCCTCAGATGCAACAAGAAAACAGCTCCATAGGGACTTACAGCTGAAATATTCTAACAGAGGTGGGTTTTATCTTTCAGTCACTTTTTATTTTATGTTGATAGACCCAGGAATGACAAAGTTATTAACTTTTCAATACTTTAGAATCGCCTTTGGCTTCACATCAGCTCTCAGATGTTTTAGTCAGAAAACAGTCTATTGAGACAGTTTGAATGTAAAGAAAGAGGATGGGAGAGCGCAGTGTGTCTGTAAGAGCACAGAGTGTAGCAGGGCAGTGTGGAAGGAGCTACTGTCTCTGCTGTAGGGCAGCGCAGCATGGACACAGGCGTGTGTAGGGAGAGGAGAGACAGACTCAGGAGGAAAAGAAACCATCAAATGATCATCAAAGAAGGAAAAGTCTGATAATGTGACTCCCCTACCACTCTATATGAGAGCAGACTTGCTATATTATAAAATATAAAATAGCCTGAGAAAGCACTATTCTTATTTTCAATCAATAACATTTAGCTGTAAATTTACATTAGCTGTAAATCATTGAACCAAATGAACTAAAACACTTATAAACTACAGCTGCACAGTAGTTCTACTGTAATATATTGCATGTAATATATGTAATGTTTCATTAACATCATAGTGTTATATTATACTCATTAGCAGAAAAAAATTACACAAGATTTTTTTGTTGCTTCTTAAAACATGTCAAAATCAAATTGATATCCTGACCCTTATATTGAGATACATATCGAATCATGGGAAAATCATATAGTTGCATCCCTATTAAGATCATGTCCAACGAACTGGCCCGGTCACTTTATATTGCGATCTATATGATCTGTAGCAATTCGCTGGGGAAAACTGAGCCAAGCTGGATTTTGCTCCTGTTTAATGACAGGTTAGACAGTGTGGCTAATCTTCTCCATCGTCTTGATAGGTGCACTGAGTTTATTACAGTAGGCCTATGTCTACAAGTCAATATAATAGATTAGCTACACAGTCTACACAGCAAAATCTGCAAATCATAACTTCCAAGGGCTTGAGTATTATTTACAGAAAGTTAGAAAACCAAGTCGTGAAAAGGTCATTGGTTAATAACAAACAAGCAGATTAACCCCCATTCACAGGAAAGAAGCAAATGAATAACTGAACCAAGACGGAACTGAGACTGAACCAGAACAAACAAGCTGTTGTATCCAGGACTGAACCAGGACTAAACCAGAACGGACAGGCTGTAGATGTGTCCAGGACCACTGTGCATCCACATAAACTATATAATATTTTATTCATATTTTGTGCCTTGCTCCCTTGCATGTGAGGGCTGTGTTGAAACTTTATCCGTCTGACCCAGTCTGTTATTTATAGCAGTGTGTTTATGCAGAGCTAGTGAGCGCAGCTAACTTTCAGAGATTGTAAAGACATAAACGCTAATATTAAGTGCTAAAATGGAGTTCAGCAGGTCTTATTTGCCTTTAGAATGGGAGGAAAAATGGAGGAGGGAGAAGGAACGTTTGAAAAGAGTGGTAGAAGAAGGAGGAGAGGGTGCAGAGAGGAACAAGCAAGAGCTAAGACGAATAGTGGCCTACAATGACTCGAAGATGGGACTGTCCAGTGCCAGGAGAAACAGTGCTAGCTCCGAACAAGTTCATGAAGATGAATTTGACGATAAAACTCTTAATTATAGCATCCAAAATTACCCATGTGATGTATTTGGGATTTTGAACCATTTCTGGAGGACAGGAATTCTTACTGACTTCATTTTGGTGTTGGAAAATGGACAAAATTACCAAGTGCATACCGCTGTACTTGCTGCTGTCAGCTTATTTGTGCGCAATAGACTTCCTAAAGAGAAAACTATACATTGCTGGACTTTAAATTTGGGTTCTGAAGTGGATAACATTGGACTACAAGCTGTTCTGGAGTTTGCGTACACTGGTGTAATCTTGTATTTGAATGAGGAAAATGTAGAATCTGTTATTGCTGCAGCTAAAGTCATGGAAGTACAGAGAGTACTGGAGATTTGTGGTAAAAAGACAACAAAAAGTGAGCAGCAAGATGGAAGCCAAGAAGGAGAAGAGTTGAAGAAGACCCTAGAAGAGATTTATCAGCTCAGTGGTGAACAAGTGGGCTGTGATGTTGTACTAGACATCAATGGAGTTTTCTGTCATGGTGAGTGGTCAAATGTGCTTCTTAAAAACATGAAAAACAAAACTAGTTCATCTTAAAAAGTTTGTCCAAAGTTATTCCTGACTTACCATCTACATTCTGAGCATTTAAATTATTCACAGTGATTAGTTTATAAACACTTTTCAGAACTCTTAGAGACCAGTGCAGAGTTTCGCCATGAAACTAACAACCACCAGCATGCTAGCACACTCTCTGATTATCATAAATAAAATGATTTCTAATTAGACGCAGACATATTTTGACCTCAAGATCTGTTTGTACAATGTACTCTATATGTACTGGGTACTCCCATCAGTCTACCTCAGGACAGCTGTGGCTGCAATAGTAGCTCCACTGAACAGGTTATAGAGTGAATGAAAATGTATAAAAACACAAAGTGACTCTGAATATGAAAAAGCACTATATATAGCACTATATATACCACCAGTCAAAAGTTTCAGAACACAATAATTTTTCCAGTTATTTATTGCAGTTCAAGTCGTGCAAGTCCAATGAAAATCTTGAAATATTACAACGGTAAGAACTGAACAACCAGAGGTTTTAAAAAAAAAGATAAAAGATACAAAACACAAGTCCAAGCTCTGCCAAAACTACCTCAGGAAAAAAGAACAAGATGGTGAGCTTAAAAACATGGAGTGTCCAGCATTGTCTCTAGACTTAAACCCCATTGAGCTGGTTTTGGGATGAACTGGACAGAAGAATAAAGCCAAGCAACCTACAAGTGCCACACATTTATGGAACTTCTGTTACAGACTTGGGAAGAACTTTCTGAAGAATATTTGATTTCTATTGTAAAAAGAAAGAACCACGAGTGTGTTCAGCTGTTATATCTGCTAAAGGTGGCAACATTGATGAATCAAAAGTTCAGAATACATTATGGTCAACAGTAGGGATGTAACAATAACTGAAATATCGTGATATTGTATCAAGTCTCTTTGCTTAAATTAAGAGTTATGGTGCAGCAATATCTAAAAAAAAGACAGAGGGAACTACATAGACCATGATCCTTTGCTCCATTTCAGTGCAGACTACAAGATGAAAGAACATTTCTAAGCACTTTTAAGTCTTCGTTCTTTGGATTAAGTCTTGTCAAGGCATTTTAACAGGAGAAAGTATCACAGCCTCCTCCACAGTATCAGCCTCCACAAAATATCGCAATAAATATTGTACCATGAGATGTATATATGAAAATATCATACAGAGAGATTTGGATATTGTTACATCCCTAATCATGAGCCTCCCCACCATATCATGAGCTTTCCAACAATATCGCAATAAATATCGTACTGTGAGGTTCATACCATGATATCATATCGTGAGACTTGGATATCGTTACACCCCTAGTAAACAGTAAGCAGTAAAAAAATGGAAAAAGTGTGGTGTTCTAAAACTTTTGACCAGTAGTGAAAGACAAATACATTATTATTTATGCTGTCATGTATTGATTTTCTAAGGTATTCTAAGTATTCTCCTATAGGTATGAATCACAATGCTGGGGTGTACTGTGTAAAAAGCTAAAATGGATAATACAGGCCCTAAAGTGTTGTGATGTTAAACTTATCCCCTTCTTCTCTAGTGCACAAAGTGATCCTGGCTACCAGCAGTGACTTCTTTCGTGGGATGTTCACCAGTGGAATGAGGGAATCCAGTCAAAGTTGCATTGCTCTTCCTTTCCTGTTTGCTCCAGAACTTGAGGCCCTCATTGCCTGCGCCTACACCGGACAGCTCCACCTGAACTGGGACTGCGTCTTTGAAATCGCCTGCACTGCACTCCAGCTTCAATTTTCACCAGCTTTGTCTTTATGTTTAAAATTCATGCATGAACAAATTGACACTAACTCTTGCTTGGATCTCATCTCTTTTGCTGAGGCGTATGGCATGACCGAGTTACTTGACCACGCTACAGATTTTGTTTTAAGGAATTTCTGGGAAGTGTCTGAAACTGCAAAATTTCTCGATCTTTCTGCAGAACAACTTGTTGATTTTCTAAAATGTGACGGTTTGTGCGCACCTTCAGAGCTAACAGTATTTCGCGCGGTAATTTCTTGGATTGAAGCTAGCCCAGAGGAGAGACTAAGCCAAGCCAGCTTACTTATGTCCAGCGTTCGTTTTCCTTTGATGACATTTAGGGAGTTTCGTGAAGTTCGAGCGATCAACTTGCGAATGGAGTGTGCTCAAAATAGCAAAGAAGTTGAATTGTACCTAGCTGCACTGAAAGAATTTGGGAACCAGGACACAGAAGCAAAATGCAGAGTTCGAAAGCCCAAAAATGCATTGGTTGTAGTGGGAGGCGACCAGTTAAATCCAGATATGGGGCAGCAGATTGCTAGCAGAGAAGTATGGTTTGCTAACTGTCTTCGAAGCGGCACAGGGCTAGTTAAAGACATTGAGTGGAGAAAACTCGGAGAGATTCCGGATCAGGCAAAGTTTAGGCACGGTGTTGCGTCCATGGGAGAAAAACTCTATGTGATCGGTGGATGCTACTTTTACACTAAAGAGGACATCATGAAATCAGCCTACAGGTAATTACATGCATACAAATACAACTACACACTTAAAACCTTAAAAAACGTGAAAAACAGTAGTAGTTTAGTTTTTGCATTTTAAACACTGAACACTTAAACCTCACCTAAACCAGCGAGAGCAACACGGTTTGACAAAACTTTACAAAGACAAATGTATCTGAAGCCATACGACAAAACACGTTGATGTCACGTCAGCCATTTTGGTAGGCAAAAAGCAACAACAAGTCAACATCAACAGTACAACATCAACAACGTCAACAGTTATCGGCGAGTTTTAACTTTTCAAAGCAACATTTTTGATCCTGAACATTCAGTGACTTAGAGTAAGATGATGAACTCATGTCAAAACAATTAAATGCAAAACCTACTTCAAAATTAGTTATCTCATGACAGACATACGCAACACAGCTGTCATCACAAATAAACGGCCCCACTGACTTTTTGCCTACCAGCCACTGTGCATGTGCAGAAACGCCAGATGTAAACAAAAACTACGTTTTCTCTTATATCCTGTCTCCATGATTTGAGAGAGTGTGATTGACAGGTGGAAAACCTATGGTCACCTCCACAGATATGTCCTGTATATACATATAATGCCATGCTGTGGAATATTCCAGGGAAAGCAATAAAATCTCCATTGAGACAAGCAGGTGGCAAACCTGCAATCAGAAAGTTAAATAGTGCACCTTTAAGTCATCACAAATCTAAAATGAAGGAGTGTAACTCACCCATAGCGTTCGGCTCCAGAAAAATGAAGTTCACCAACAATTTGAGGCAGAGTTAGCAATTTGGGGGCACTAGGCAATCTTGAGTTTGGGGCCTTCACTATAATGCACTGTTTTTCTGTTTTGCTTTGTTTTTTTAATATATTTATTGTCTGTTTTTCCCCATTGTTCTAGAGACATACACATCTCTATTTATTTGAATTATGATGGATTGGAAACTTGTCTTATTAGTTAGGAAGCCTACTAGATAACCAGAATTGAAAGTAGTTATATTTTTTTGCTAGTGCAATTACATTTTTGTTCACATCCATTACATATGATTATTAGAATATTTCTTATGATTATTGCTTAAAAGTAAACTACTCCCATTTAATGTCATATTGAGAGAAAATCAATATGAGGCCTCGGCCATTAGTGGCACTGATTGGATGGGGGCCCCTCCAGGTTTGGGAACCCTAAGTAGCTGCCTACTTTTGTCTAATGGTAGCGCCGCCTCTGCCATGAATTAAATCTTGAAAACTTTCATGTATGTATGATGTATAGTGTAAGATCTTTCTATTTTGTTCCAGATATGATCCTGAGCAGAACAGTTGGAGAAGACTGGCAGACATGAATGAGTTTAGAAGTAATTTCTCTCTAATCGCAAATGAAGGACGACTGTTTGCGATTGGTGGAGACAAGGAGATCAACACTAATGTGGACTCAGTGGAGGTGTACAACCCAGACACTGACAGCTGGAGGTAAAAATGTTCACCTTTCAAAACCTGTGGCATGTGCCTGAAATGCATATAAATACTAGCAATGTTGGTGAGAGCTAGAAATTAGATACATTTTAATATGTGCTTTCTCCTTCAAAAGTTGCAACTTTACCTGATTTTTATTGTCTTCAAAATGTGAAAAACAGAACTAGACCTACTTTTAACTGTTTGTTGTGGTCCTAATTATTCATTGCAAGGAGTTTTAAATTATTCACATCTCACTTCAGAGGCCAGACTGGGCTTTTGTCATTACAGCTAAAAAACTACTACAATGCTAACAGCACACTTCCTGATCATTTTGCAAAAAACACTTTATAATTACAGTAGATGCAGACAGCACACGATGGACTTGTTTCTACTTATTTCTAGAGCTGCTTATACAGAAGTATGTAGTGTAGTGTTGTGTACTGTACAGCATGGGGGAAAAAATAAGCAGTCATTGTGTTCTGGGGATAAACAATTTACAGATAAATAATAGTTGGCATTTTTCCAATAATAAATGTTTTTCTTTTCCAGTTTTGTGCATCCACTGAAACAGAACCTGAGTGGTCAAGCTGCTGCTGTCTGTAATGGTGCCATATTTATTTCCGGAGGCTTCAACTGCAAATATGAATGCCTTGTGTCACTGTTCATGTACCATCCTGCAGGGGGCTCCACCTACCTGTCCGACATGACCTTTGACCACGCTCTGCACTCCATGGAGGTGCTCCGTGGGTGCCTCTATGTCGCCGGAGGAGTTTGCAATCTGCGAAAATTTTACACCGACCAACTTGTGTGTGAAATCTACTCTCCGCGCACTGATTCCTGGAGTGTTTTTGAGAATTTGCCTGTTGCACATGTTGGAGCGCCCTCTGTAGTTTTGGAGGATAAACTGTATATTTTAGGGGGGGTATTGTCAGGAGGATTACAGTGAATCCGGGCTAGTGCATCGTTTTGACCCCACTATGAATAGATGGGAGAATATGGGTCGGCTTCCAGGAGCTGTGACAGACATCAGAGCATGTTTAATACCTCTACCAAACCATTTAAGGCAGTAAAATGTTTTTGTTTTGGGTTTTTTTTGCATTATTTGTATGAGGTCAGAGACTAGAATATTTGTGTGGATACAAATAACTGAGGAGGCTGAGTGCCATTTGCAGTAAAGTAGCCAAAATATTTACTCATATAGTAGTTGAAGAAATTATCCAACAAGTGTATCTGTAACAAAAGTAACTGGAAAGAATATACATAAAAGGAAAAAGTATTATCTTCATCATTCAAGTCATCATAAAGCTTTTGTCACTTGTAGACTTACTTCCCGCTTAGCCTTTCTCTCATTAAAGGTGTAGTTTGTAACTTTTCTTGTGGAGGGTTGTCTATATACAGACAGGCAAAGCATTTCTACAAGGTGACCGTCCCACCACAAATATTACACTGTTCACACTCCACACTGTGTTAACACATTGAATTTGGGTAGTACAACTGGACCTAAATCTGAAATAGTCCAGTACTAATCCAGGATTAAACCACACCATACCAAGTCTACATCAGGACTTAATTGGGCTCAAACCAGGAATAAAGCAGGATAAATGTGAACTCATCCTATATGTTAACCTAAGAAACATATAGAGAGAACATCCACCCTTCTCTGGAACAAGACAAGACTCAACCTGTAACACTTCAGGCCAGAAAACATATAGGCCCCTCTCCCTCATTTAAGTGCAGAGAGCAGCAGGAGCAGGGCACACAACATGGACCTGAAGACATGTGTTTTGGTGTTGGCTTTTGGGTTGTGCTCAGTTCAGTCTCAAAGAGGAGACTTCACGATGCCCGACTGGTTTCAGAGCAAACTTGACCTGATTTTAAAACTGGAGGAGCGGATGAATAACGTCGACAAATGCTGCAAAAATGTGGAAGATGTGGAGTTTAGGTTGAATGCTACTTTGGCCGAGCTTGCGAGGCAGAAAGAAGACATTGACAAACTCAAAAAGGAGAATGAAGGTAGGTTTCAGAGAGATTATTACTGTTGCCATAGTAATTAACAATAGAAGTATATAATAGTATATCTTTTAACTGGTCCTCAAATTCTCAAAGTGTCACATAAAACTGGAAGCTGAAACCATTAAAGGTGTATTAGAGGATCTCTTAGGCCCAATTACTGACTTTTCGTTTCTTGCCTTACAAGTCCATGATTTTTTCTGTGATATTTTTAGAGTATACAAAGATTGTTCCATTGTGAAATTACTTTGTCCAAACTAAGAGTGCTTTGTTTTTCCTTTCACAGAACTAAGGAAGATTGTTGGGAAAGGTATTTTTTTGAAATTCTTTTTAGAATTTTAATGTATTTGTCTATGACTTGTGGCAGACTGACGTGTCTTGTCCACAGGAGACATATGTGTGTATGTAAGCATTGTGTTACCGTGGTAAATGCTGAACATTCTGCCACAGACATACATGCAGCACCCACCACTGCTACGTATATAACATTTCTAATAGGCCCATGTCTCCTTTAATGTCCCCAGGCTCTCCACAGGTGGCCTTCTCTGTGTCTCTGGCTGATTCTGAGGAGGTGTACAAAGGCCCGTGTGCAGATAAGACCCTGGTGTTTAAACGAGTTTTCTCCAACATAGGAAATGCCTACAACCCCAACACTGGTGCGTGCTGAATACTGTGCTGCTCTTTGGCCCTTAGGCTTGTTGGGTGAAGGACACAATAAAAGCAAACAATGACTGGAGCTGGATCAAACTACACTGTAATAACACAAATCTACATGAGTTTAAAAAAATATAAAAGATAAAAGATGAGAAATTTCAAATTTTTGGGAATATTTGAAGAAACTAAAAATAAAACAATGTAATATTAAATTAAACTAATAATACTTAAAGAAAAATAATAATTAATTACCCCATGTTTTACCAAATTACCAAATTATGAAGGTTAAAAGGTGCTCTATGTCACTTTTTGGTTGAGGGTTTACCACCTGTCTATCTCTTTGAAGATATTATTGCTTGTTCCACGGTATAGCATTAAACTTATATTTCCATGGAGACAAGCAGATGGCATCACCAAGCCAAGTTTAAGGTCACATCTGTGGAGAGGCGAACTCCACTCAGTCAGAATTTGACGTTGTTTCTTAACCATAAAGCACCCCTTTAATTGAATAAATGTATAACAGATAAGTTTGATGCCATGCCGTGGAACATTTGTGTTTTTGTCTTGAACTATGATGCATCTTTGAGTGTCACTAGAAAGTAATAAAGTAACTAAACAAGCAATAACATCTCCATGGTGACATGTGGCAAGCAGTCCTCTAGAAAAGTTACTGATTGCACCTTTAACTTTGAATTTGTCTTTTTATAAAACAGCATAATCTTAGTCTTATTGTAGTCTTAATCTACAAAGGTCTGGGCTCATGTCTGTTCTTGTCACAGGAATCTTCACAGCCCCTCTGGGTGGCTCTTACTTCTTCACCTTCAACACATTTGGATACAACAGTCACACCACAGGTGCCATTTTGTTCAAAAACAACGATATCCAGGTAAGAATGAGAAATATAATGGGAAAAAATTTGGAACAGATACAGTTGATGTCATCAGCATTCCCGTGGGGTGTGAAGGTAACAGTTCATTTTACACAATCCATTAGTCCCATATTTGTGTCCTGTCAAAGTATCAGTATGGCCTATAATATCTATTTTAAAAGGAGTGCAAAAAAATAAATAAAAAGTAAGGTAGGACTGTCCAAATTGATAAACTAATACAAGAATCACATGCATTTCAGAACAGATTTTTCATATAAAGAGAATATTTAGCAGTAAGTGGATGAAATTCTATCTAAATAAATCTTAGTTAAGTCTTATTGCAATTATGAAATCCCAAATACAACTTTTATTTTCTTACTATATTCATTCATTTTGTGTGCAATATCTGAACCTAAACAAAGACCTTTATTGCCATTATATTGTCAGAATATCATAATTAAGATAATCCCAAAAAGACTGAGTGATAATTTTTTTCTCCATATCTCGCACCTGTACCTCCAGATTTCCACATATGAGGGAGTGTCTTCAGATGGAGCTGACAGTAGCAGCAATTCAGTCCTCCTGACTCTGGCTCCAGGAGACACTCTGCACCTGCAGCTCTGGGAGAACGGGCGGGTTTTTGACAACGCCAACGCACACACCACTTTCACTGGGTTTCTTGTTTTTCCAATAACTAAATAGAGCACTTATAAATGTGATATCAGTTGTGCTTAATCAAAGCCTTCATAATGGGCAGGCTGTGTTAAGGTGAACTAAATTTGCTGTTCTCACAATGTGTCCTCTGCATTTGACCCATCTTTCAATGACACTAGTGCAACCTGTTGGGAGCAATGGCCCATCTTCTGGACGTCTCCAGGATGACCTTAACTGGAGGATTTCATAGATGTTTTGGGTTATGGGATTAATCCTCATAATAAGAAATAAAGTGAAGTAAGAGATGTGTCTTGTTTTCAACAATTGTTATTCACTTATTTGTGAATGCAAAATGACCTACTTTGAATACTCAAATATGCATTTGAGTTCATAATAAAGCTTCAACAAAAATAGTATTGCAGTGAAATTAAGTAAATGGTTCACAGGAAACAAATAACTCACTAATGTTTAAAAATTTTCTTTGATTCACATTTTGTTATTATAAACACAAAAGATATTGTATTACTTGTACAGCTGTTACTACTTCTTCCATCACTATTATGGCCAGAGATGCTACTACTACATTTAATGAGCTACAGATAACTAATAATAAGTCAAAACGCAGGTTACATGTTTATTTCTTTTATTACACATAAAATTGCAAATAAAATTTATTACAAGAAAATCTGTACAATAAATCTATGAGTATCAGCCAGTTTGAGTGTTGATCATTTGCTCTTTGCGACCACTCAGTAAAATCTAAACATTATACAGACTCAATATCATGAGGTGAGGAAATCTGGAGGCAACGCTGCACATTACAATCAACAAAATACTACCGTATTTTTCGGGCTATTAGGTGCGGCCTTCCAAAAACGACTGCGCGCCTTATAATCCGGAGCGCCTTTTAAATGAATTTACACGAGTGTTCCAGTACAACTTCAGTAAACGACAAAGCCGCACCACTTGCAGCATTACGGCGACCGTAGTCAGGAGCATCGCGGAGTAATAAGTACTGTGATTCCTCATTTTTCCTGTGGACGAGGAAAAGATGAGCGACTGGCTGCGAGAAGTTTACCTTAAGAGACCGGATGGCTTTTTCCACACATCTCCGTCCCTATTGATCTGCGACTCCAGCGCAGTAACAGATTGTTGTCCAGACGCAGCCGCGATTCATTTTCGAATTATTTTACCAACAATGGCCAATACAGAGAATGTAATACACGAAGATCAGAGCAAGTACCAGTGTGCGAACATGTGGCTCCAGAGTGAGTCAAAATTGGGGGTGTGTACGTCTGTTCAGGACCTGGACGCACAGAGAGGTCCCGGTGTTCCCCATGATCATGTACCAACCAGCATTTGTTATTTTAGGCTTTAATTAATCAAATAATTTTATGGCAATAGCCTATTCAATTGATGCAACTTCAAAAAGTCCCTGCTTTTAGCCTAGTGTGAGAAATACAGTCTGACTAGATCCAAACCAGAGTCCCGAAACGGGGGGACTCCGGTTCAGGCCGGGCTCAGAGGAGCTGGAGCGGGGAGCATCGACCAGAGGAAGCGCTTTCCCTGGGAAGAACCAAATACGCGGAGGACGGACGGACCGTCCGGACCTGTAGTCCACAGCGCATTCTTGCTTTTCCCGCACGGAACCAGCGCGCAGACGACGGAACGTACCCGCTCGGACTCAGTCCATCAAGCACTGGTCTTGCTCGCCACCGTTTGGAACCAGCACATGGAGGATGGAGCCTCCGGACCATCTGACCAACGCGCTTGTAGGACGACAGAAGACCAAGGACCAGACCCCAGCCCCGTCCTGAGGAGCTGTGCGCTACCGTGAGCACTGTTGGCTGCTGCTGTTACCCGAACTCTGGGCTGATGCGGTGAGTTTGTACAAAGTTTGACATGTTGCTGTTTTATGAGTTCATGATGATAATTTGAGATGAGGACGGCCAGGAACATCGGTGTTGATAACTGGAGGTATCGCTGTTTTCCCGGGAAACAGAGACACGTCAATCGAACCAGTTTTGGTTTGTTTGTAGGTGTGAACGCGGACCACACTGGAGTCTATCTGCTACATAATAACAATTTTATTGCCTGGTGCGAACCAAATAATCGAACTAGCGGTGTGAAAACGCCCTAATGTGTTATTTTTAATTATAACCGAACAATTATGAGTTATTGTGAATACGCTGACAATTTATGGGTCTCAGACAATTTTTAGTTTTTTACGTGTTACAAATGAACAAAGTTGAGAGTTAACGTAAACGTAAACGCGTTAAATAAAGTTTGACTGATTTACCTAACTGTTGTGTTTCGTTTAACGCGCCTTATAGTCCGGTGCGGTTTATATGTGACAAAAGTTCGGGAAAACGACAGTGCGTCTTATAACCCGGAAAATACGGTACACACTTTTAGTTCAGTTCAGTTTTGTTCTGTTCTAAAAGAGCTTATAACCCTCAAAAATAGTCACAGAGTATTCAGTCCAATTCACTACTATATATTTCAAGCTATGCTGTTTATATTGTTTACTTAGTCCCATGTTGTCGACAGCCTCTCTACAGGTTCTCTGCTAAATTTTATTTAGGGCCCCTTAAAGCGCCATAGAGCACCAGTAAAATTAAATAAAGCACCTTTAATTTCAAATTGTCACCACAACTTTTAGTTAAGTTACACTGTAAAATATATTACTCAAGTAGGAGTAAAAGTATGGCATCTGAAAACTACTCCAAGAAGTACAATTTTATTTAAAAGTTTTTCAAGTAAATGTACTAATCACCCCTATCTACTCTGGACATATTCTCAAATGCTCTGGTAAGCACAGTACACATGCTTTTATATCATTGTTGGGCCCTGGCATCTTCCCCATATTCTCCCATTGCAGTGTGGCTGGATCATAGCGATGAACCATTTTTGTGTCGCTGTAATCCTCCTGACTGTACCCGCCCAAAACGTAAAACTTTCCCTCCAAAACAGCGCTCCCTGCTCCTACGTGTGGCACTGGCAACGGTGAAAAACTAGTCCAAGAATCGTCTTGAGGATTGTACATTTCACAAGATAGCATATCAACGATATTAACATCATCCACCTGAGAGAGTCCACCAGCGACGTATAGGAAGTCGCCCAGGACCTCCATGCAGTGAAGGGCACGAGGGTGGGCCATGTTCTCCAGGTATGTGCTGCCTTTTTCGGGGTGGTAGGAGAACATGGAGGAGAGGCAATCATAGTCATTGTTGAGTCCACCTGAAATGAATATCTGCCCTGCTAAGACTCTCGCTACGTGGCCCCCGAGTGGTAAATCCAGAGGACGGGTGAAACTGCAAGAAGAAAATAATTGAAACATGAGATCTTCTACGACTGTCCAGGATGCACAACCATCACCCTTTCCTTTCAGCTCCAACAAAGTGCTCAAACGGTGCAGTTAATACTACTGTAATATTTTCATTTCACTTTAACTAAAGAAATGTTCACCCAGTTTAAATTAAAATAAACATTATGTTTCCATTGTATTATTTTGTGTTGATCCAAAACAAATAATTTTGAATTTAACTCTAATATGATCTAATATGGAATATTTAAATGGTTTGAGAAAGAGTGACAAAATGAGTTTAAACAGGGTCTACATTTTATTTTTTAGTGTGTTGCTGTACCTCCATGAGTTAGTAGAGGGGCAGTATTGTTCCACTGTTTCGAGGTAGTCTGGGTGACTCTGTCCTCCGATGGCGAACAGCTTTGACTCAAATACGACCATAGAGAAGGAGCATCTGGCCTGGTGTATGGGACACAGCTCCTCCCATCTGTTTTCAAGAGGGTCGTATCTGAAACATTACACAAAGAAACAACTGAGTCAAGCAATTTGGTCATGGATATTTAACAAACTGTTAAAGGGTTTAAGAGTGATGACAAATTAGGATGATCATCATAGAAATTAGATTAAAATGGTGCTTTTAACAGGAAAATGAAACCCATGAATAACAATTAGAGGACAGCAATTTGGTTGTTGTAGTAAAGATGAGGAAGATAACCTAGAATGCTGAACAGCTTTAAAACAGTACTATGTAACTTTTCTGGCGGTGGTAGAATGAGGGACTAAACAGTCAAGTTTTCTAGTGGAGTTTCCACCACCTTCTTGTCTCCAGAGAGATTGGTTTGCCTGGAATGTTCCATAGTATAGCATTAAACTTATATATATCTATCCTCCATGGAGAGACGAGGTCACTCACAGTAAGAAAAATCATGTTTTTCATGGTATTTTTTGATCAACATAAACGTGAATAAATTTAAGACAGGTTTAGCTCCATTTTATAGAACATTCCAGGTAAAACAATCACATCTCTGTGGAGTGAAGCGAGTGATGGAACCCCCAACCAGAGAAGTTACATTTTGTATTTTTAAAAATGTACCTGAAAAAAGAGTTTAGAGTGTCTCCAATGCCGTAATACTTCTTCCCACCGAGGAGGTAGAGTTTTCCTTCGATCACTGTGACCTCATGGCTGAACCGGGCAGGCTGCGGCATCTCCCCCAGCTTCCTCCACTCCATCGCCTTTTTAATCCCCATGTGGTTCCTCAGTGAATTCCCAAACCACAAATCTTTACTGATACTTCGCGTTCCTAGATCTTCTGAAATCTGATCACCTCCGCTCAGGACCAGACTTTCCTTTGGTACATAAATACGACATTGATTTTGTGTTTCGATTTCATTTGAGCAGAAATCATCAAAAATGGCTTCATACAATTCTTGTAAGCTATGATTCGACCACATTTTGAGAGCTTGGACCTCCTTGAACTCCTTAAATGTCATCAGAGGAAAGTGTATGGTTTTCATAAGTTCTTTGGCTAACTTTAATCTTCGCTTTGGTTTTGCTTGAATCCAGTCAACCACTGCTCTGAAAACGACTAACTCAGACGGTACGCACAAAGCAAAACTGTTCAGATATTTTAGCAGATGCTTTGAGGGGAGATCTTTAAACTTTGGCGTACGGGCTACTTTCTGAAACTGACGTAGGATGTAATCTTCAGCGTGATCGAGCAGTTTGATGATACCAAAAGCTTCTGCAAAAGACGCAACATCGAGACAACAAAACGGGTTGATTTCTCGATGAAGAAAGCTGAGGCAAAGGCTGAGAGCTGGTTGGTATTGCAGCTGAAGAGCGGTGCTGGTAGTTTCGAAAATGGAGTTCCAGGTGAGGGAGATGGACCCGGTGTAGGAGCAGTTGAGGAGGACTTCGAGTTCTGGAGCCGAGAGGAACTGGAGGTAAACACTGGACTGAGACGATTCCCTCATACCCAAAGTGAACATGGCACGGAAATAGTCACTACAGGCTGCCAACATGACTTTGTGCACTGTAAAAAATAAATAGAAAAAATATTGAGAATTTTGGAAGTCCCTAAAATCCAGTTATCTTTCACTATCAATGTGCCTGGTGTCAGTTTGAGTTGGGTTCATAGACTGTATACATAAATGAATATAGCTAACTTTTTACACTATAGCTAGCTTTTTATTTAGCTATTTCGTATGTATATAAATTCCTATTCCTGATACGGACCTGGCTCGAAATTTGCTCCTATAACTGGTAGCATCGTAAGCTTCTCGTAAAGTAATGACAAAGTGTATATTTTGGATCCCAGGCAAGTTTTTGACATCAAATAAAACATTTGCATCTGAATCTGAATTTGAATTTGATTTATCCCTTGTTAAAGAGTAACACAACATGTTGTTTACCACAATTTTACACAACCAAGAAACCACATGGCATGATTTTTTTTATATTACTATCAAGTATGGAGTTACTTCTGCGATTACTCCAGCTGATCTTGTGACAGGCAACATCATTTCAGTCTTATTTTAGGTCTTGGTAATATCTTCGGGCTTATGATGTGTTTATCTGGCCAGATTTTATTTATATATTCCTCCCTGGAGTCTAGTAGCACTTAATAGCTCTAGCAGATATCGTAGTATATGAAATAACATGTACAAGCCTATAACTGTATTTATAGATTGTGTCTGTGTAATTCTTCATATACAGGCTGCCTTCCTCCTCAGAGCTCAAAACACTCCCTCACATCCTGAATATTCCACCTTGTGACATCATGAAGTGATCATCCAGAAAATGCTCCTCCTTTAAAGTCCACACACCTTCACCAGGCCCAGTGTAATAATTTCATCATCAAATCCTCAAATTCACTATTATACATTACAACTGAAGCTAACAGCTATTGGTGTGTTTTCCTCACTTTGGCAACTGTCGCATTTTCAGGGTTTAATTACTGAATATTTTATAGCATACAAATCATTTATTTTAGATGTGCTCTACATCACTTTTATGGTGGTAGCTCCATCAGCTGTTTCAATGTCTTTGCCTGGAATATTGCCCAGTATAGCATTAAGTGTATATATGTCACATTTATTCAACTACAATTGTTTTGTTGCTCAAAAGTACCTTGAAAAACATACTTTTTTGACCTGTAACTTGACCTGGTGACATAGTCTGCTTGTCTTCCATGGAGATATAATACTGTGCTGTGGAACATTCCAAGTGAAGCAACATCTCCATGGAGACAAGCAGATCATGGCCCTTCCATCAGAGAAGTTACGCAGTGTTCTTTTAAGCTGCAAAAGGTCAAAGACCAAAAATAGTGTCTAAAACGTACCTTGAAATGATGCACTTAGGAGATCCAGTGTGACATCACAGCCCAACTCGTTCGTCCAAAGTTCTTCAATCTTCTGGAGATTTCTTCTCAGCTCAGTTGAAGCAGAGACCATTTTATCTTTATTTTTTTCTTTATTTTTGGACAGTTGTCTATCACAGATTTCCATGATTCTCGATGCTGATAAAGATCGTGCTGCTTTTTTGATTTCCAGCACATTTGAAGAGTTAAGACCTTGGATTGCACCAGTGTAGGCAAATTCAACCACTGCTTCTAGGGCTTCGTATTCCACTTCTGCACCAAGTTTCATTAGTTGAGTTTTTCTGTCCCAAAACCAGCCGCTCTGCTTACTGAGAAACCTCCTTGCTGTGCAGCTTACTGCCGAAAATACAATGGCGTGAACATAGATACTTTTCCCATCTGATGTTGACAGTTCGAGATCGGTCAGAATCTGGGCATCTTTAAATTCATTTAAAGTTTGGAAAATCTCATTTGTGTGATTGTCATGTTTGTAAATTTTGATTTCGTCCAAGTCATAATCGATATCTGCGTCGCCCAAATTATCATCGTCTTCATCGGTTGTTGTTGTCTCTTCTTCTGTTGAATGCTCATCTTTTGGTTTGGCAACTTCATCAGCTTCTTCTTGTACAGATACTTCAGCCATACCATCTTCCAGCAAGTCTTTTAAATCTTTTGCTTTCTCTGTATTTTGGTTGTACAGTTCTTCATAATTTAGTTCATCATTTTCTGAACCGTCTTCTAGCAAATTTTCAAATCTATTATCGTCTAAATGTTTATCTTCCTCTGTATTTTGATTGTAGGCTACCTCATTAAAATGTTTCCAGTTTTCAAAACAAGCTGAGGCTGAATTTTGATCAGAGTAGTCAAATTCTGGATCATCTTTTGGTTTAGCTGCAAGATCTTCAACTATCTTGCATCCTGGCCCCACCTTCTGCCAAATTGTGTAATCTATTAACTTGTTTATCTTCCTCCATGTTTTGATTGTAGATTTCTTCATAATATAGTTCCCCATTTTCTGAACTACCAGAAGTCAAATTTTGACCTGAGAATTGTGAATTGTGTTTAAATTCTTTTGCATAATTTTCTTCGATTTGCCCATTTTCTCTCAAGTCTTCTTTGGTGAGGCTTTGTTCTTGCTCTACGTGATCTTTAAAAACAAAGTTCTCCATTTGTTTCACAACCTCCTCTGCTCCCCCCATTGCTAAATCAAGGCGTAGCTCTTCCAAATTGTCGTTAACATAATCAATATTGTAATTTTGTTCTTCCGATTGTGATTGCCTGGATTCGCTATCTTCGTAACATCTAAATGGATCTGAATTATAACTTAAACTTTCAAACTCATTCAGTTCAGACCAGTTTTCTCTGTCAAAATCATCACTTCCACTTGCGTTTTCTTGGTAATAGCTCTCCTTGTCTTGGGTTTCGAAGTCATTGGATTTCACTAATACCTGATCCATGTTCATCTGCGCAAATTCTTCAAAATCATGTCTTTCTTCTTGTTTTTCCATTACTTTTCTATCTTCTTCTAACCTGCTCTCTTGAATCTCACCACTGGAAGCATCAGCAACCTCCTCATCATTATCGTGATTTCTGTGCGACATTTTATCATTTTTTGTGTGCATGTATTCCTCTAAATCTAGACTTTCATCTTGTTTTTCCAACCTTTCATCTTGACTCTCTCCATCAGAAGTATCTTCATCCTCGTCTTCATCCGTCTGTTGGTCAGGTTGATCATTTCCGTTCAGTTTGTCCCATCCCATGACTCTTTGCATCCAGCTAAGTCTTCGCTGTCTGCCCTCCTCTCTCTCCTGCTGGTGTTCACTCCAACTCTGGTGCATCCACGGAGTAGCCACAGCCATAATTTATTTACAACTTAACTGTGTAATGCTAAAAACCCTTGTAATCCTCTCCAGACATCCAAGCAATGAAATCTTTCGGATTGCTTAAAAGTGACTGAACTTTCTATGCAAAGAAAGAGAGAGTTGTCCAATGCGATTTGATGTTGTTTTGTTTGTGTAGCCTGCAGCCCTGCTTATTTATCTCATCCTGAGACAGCTGCAGAGTTTAAGCCCCTCTCACTCTCTCCTCTTCTCCTCCCCCTCTCTTCCTCCCCCCTTGACCTCTCTTTCCTCCAATCTGTCTCCCTCATCTCTCTCTCTCTCCTTTCTCTATCTCTCCTACCTCTCTCACCCTCTCTGCTCTCGCTCCTCCCTGCTCTCTCTCTTCCCCTCACACCCTTTCATGCTCCCAATCTCTCTCTTACTTCCCTTCCTCTCTCTCTCACTCTCCTCCTTACATCTATTCCTGTTTCTCTGCCTCTCCCTCGTTTTTCTCTCTCCCCATCCCCCTCTGTCTCCCTCTGTCTCGCTCTCTCTTTTTCTCCACCTCTCGATCCCTCTCTCTCCCTCTCCATCCCTCCCGCTTCTCCTCTACCTGTCCCTCTTTCCCTCAGTCCCTCCCTCCCTCAGTCTCTCCCTCCCTCCCTCAATCCCTCCTCCCCCTCTCTTCCTCCCTTCTCATATGTGGCGCTCCTAACCCAGATAGCCAGCCAAACTTGGATTCTTTATCACTGGGTAATCAAAATCCAACACCTGCAATGCATTGGCTACTGGAGCAGACGAAATAAAATCATTTGATTTTGACAGACTATGTTTGCTGGTTTTGCAGAATGATTTGTCATTTTAAAGTTTCCTTTCCGCTTCTTTGTCTCAGTTATTGACGACGTATGACAAATTTGTGGAATTTGTGGAATTTATTGCTAGCATCTTCGTGTCACCAAAAATAAGCAATGAAATGAACTCATTTGCTGAGTACATCTAATATAATATATTGTTATAATTCAAAACAGGTTGATATTTCTGTTTCACTATTGCAACCTCCAAACATGATAACACAACAGGCCTTCACTCCTCTAGGAAAATTTGGTGATGGGTTCCCAAGAGCTGCGCGCCACCAGACTGTTCCTTTTTTGGTATTCAGACCCTTCCCTCTCACAACGGGGGGCAGTGTTCAGTGGGGAGTAGTGATTAGAGCGCTGGTTCAAAAACCCAAAGGTGACAGGGTTTATTCCCTCTTGGTTCAGTGCATACTGTTATTGTGTCCTTGGGCAAGACACTTCAGCCATCTTAACTAGTTTGAATGCAATGTGTGTGTGTGAGTGTTGTTGATGGTCGCAGGGTTCGATGGTGCAGATTGGCAGCCTTGCTTCTCTCAGTCTACCCCCAGGGCAGCTGTGGCGACAGCAGTGCATTGTAGTCTCATTTAAAATAGTTTTTGCACCCTCATTAAATGAATGACACATAATTGAAGAATATTGTCTTTGCCCCCCTTTGAACTCTTTACGCGATCACAGTCAGTTTGATCTGCACCCAGGCCTGATACCATCATCACCTGCTGAGTGAATAAGATATGATATCACTATTCCAATGGAAATGATTGTGCCAAAGAAGCACAAGACTACAAGACAGATCAAATAACATTACACAGAAAAAGTCTATAAAAGGAAACATTAGTGCAACAGCCTATAAAAATACAACATCAACATGTGAGTAAATAATGCAGTAAGTGTTTTTGAGTGTCCAAAAAAGGACCTTTATACGTGAAACGTGTTCGATATTACGATATAGAGATGACCTCATTCTGTTTTGGTACAGTAGACGCTCATGTGCTCTCGTGTTAAATGTTTAGTGCCGAGGGTCACAGCTGAGAGTACAGGCAGACAGAGCAGCCTCCTGACCCCTCTTGCTCCTGGGGCTTGGCTGGGGCCCTGTTGCTGCATTAAATACCTGAGGAGTCGCCAGGGGGATCACGTAGCTCCTCCACTGAACAAGAATCTGGGACAGGGCCAGCCCAGAGTCCAGGGAGATGTGGAGGTCAAGACAGAGATAGCACCACGTTATATTTATTAGTGTGACCTGTGAATGATTGTGTGGTTTAGAAATTATTGAATTTGTTGACTGATTTGGAAGAAATCCGAAATCAAGAATCACGTTTTCACAACGATATGATTTAAATTTGACTGTGATTAATTTTGCAGCCCTACTTTAGGTATAGGATTCAGATAAAGTAATTGTGTTCAAATCAAATGCTGATTTATTCACAAAGATACACACATTTTAAATAATTTGTTGCTTATGCTTATATTTTGAGTTTTGGTTCTCAAATTGATAATCCAATCAGAAAGCAAAATGAGCTCCTCACTTTGGGTTGCCAGATCCTACAGATGCATGGAAAACAAGCAAGTAGCAAACATTCCACTAGAAAAGTTACACAATTAACCTTTTTTATCTGTCCCTTTATATTGTTGTTTTCTACTTGTGCTGATGTCTTTGCCCCTCCTTTACCAGGTCAAATCTTCAGATCCAGTTCTAAATGTAGGTCAGCATGTATCTGAGACCAGAGTGAAGGGAGCAGTGGAGGCCAAAGCACATTCATGAATACAACATATTTACACCTGTCCTCTTTTATCCCGTGAGAGAAAGGAAAACAGCTGATCTGGTCGGCACGTGTGTAACCTTGAATTCGGTGATATCAAATGTCTGACAATACAATCGCACCACTTTAACTACTGCAGCAGGTTTACTTCTGCTACTATTCTGGGGTTATAAGACTCAAGTAGGCAGTGGAAACATAATCTCACTACTTTAATACTGGTCTGGCCACGTTGGACTTGGTCTTCTGTATCCAACTGTGGCACTTGTTAAGACGAGGCCGGTTCTGCAGATTTACACTGGTTTTATCACTAGGAGACAGCGGCAGCAACTGCATTCATGTTCACGTCTATAATAAGATTTATAATCAGATCTCATTATACTCCACTGTTCACAGTCATTGTTCTTTTTCTCCGATCTCTCTTATTATTAGCTCATATTAAAATTGCTCAAAACAAACAAACGCCATCTGGTGGAGTATAATAAGGAATTGTTTTTTAACATGTGCAACTAAAACTGTACATAGGCTCAGGGGGTGTGCAATTATTAATAGAATACAAGAATGCAGGGGATTGCCTGTAAAAAATGATTTAAAGGTCCTGTTGGTGCATCACTCATGGTCATACTTGGTCTCTTATTTATTTTGTTCTATGGTGTTTGTTTATGTGGTGCTTTGTGTTGTGTTGTCCTGTTTTTTGATAAAGCATGTTATCCCCTGTCCCAAGACAAATTTCTCCCATGACAATAAAAGGATTATCTTATCTTAACATTATGTACTGCTCAATTACAATGTAGTAAAAAAGTATATTGAGCAATAACTGCCCTTAAAAGACAACAGGTGAGCTGAGTTTGTACTGTTGTAGGCATAAGCTAGTTAGCATTAGCCATCCTCACCTTTTAAGTCGAAAATTAAACACCTAAACAGGACCATAAACCTCGTATGAAGCACAAGCTCCTGAAAATGTGTTTTTTCATTTTGTATTTTTTCCCGCTGACTTTTCAGAGAATTTGCTGTGTTTGCTGTGCTTTGTGTCACCATGGTAACTGCTGAACATATCACCATAGACCAATGAGGTTCATCTGGTCTTCCGATATTTTATGTTATTAGGTTCTTTTTTCAGACCAAGAGTTTGTTTTCATACATGATAGTTTCAGAAGTCAGGCTGCAGATGGCGCTGTTGTCCTGCCTCCACTGGTAGGAAGACAGCGCCAAAACTTGTATAAATCAGCTGAGCGGACGCGTGACAGTAACATCACGTGACCACTCTGAGAAAGACGGCGAGTGAGCAGTCGAAACTGTCAGCCATGAAAACAAACTCTTGGTCTGAAAAAAGAACCTAATAACATAAAATATCACCATAGCTATACATGCAGTAGCCCTCCAGCATGATGTCACTGCAAAATAAATACACATTGAATAAAAAATAACACATTCTCTTTTCAAAAATTTCAAAATACAATCTAGCTTTAATGATCTCCTTTAAAACACAGACAAAAAACAGACATCAAAGTTTAACCACAGATTTTTAGACTGGACTCTGAACACAAGCAGGCTGGAAAAGGACAGGACTGGGAATACATCGCTTGTACAGTATAAACTAATATTAACAAAC